CAAGGCTATGCATTTATTACTGTTTATTATCTTAGTGGACGGATATTTTACTTAGTACATGTTGTTATTGCTTGTTTTTCCCCCAGATATAATAATTCTGTCTGTTACCAGGTGTTTAAAATAATGTATATAAAGTAAAACGAGAACAAACTACGTGAAATAACAAATTGTTTTCTGTTTAGTTTCGAAAGACAATATTATTATCGAAATATTGACATAATAAACATTAAAATGAGTGCAGTCAAAGCACAAGGCTCTTCAAAGTAGTAGAACATTTTTTTCAACTTTAACAGTTGTTAAATGCAAGGTTGATTTGATTACCATATGATCATTAATTTATTTATTTTAAACCATCAAATAAATATGTAATTTGAAGTAGTTCGTGAAGTTGGCAGCCTAGCAGCCTAGCAGCCCAGCAGCCTGAAGTTGGCAGCCTAGCAGCCTAGCAGCCTGGCAGCCTGGCAGCCTAGCAGCCTGGCAGCCTAGCAGCCTAAAGAAAACTAAGAATAGTACAAACATGAAATCGTCGGATATGAATCGGAAGCACATACTTAGACCATTGCACGTCTTATTTAAGTATCGCGATCTTTATTTTTTTAAATATTGAACTTTGCTTTTTTTTATTTTGACGCTTCGAAATTTGTGAAGTTAGCAGCCTAGCAGCCTGGCAGCCTAGCAGCCTAAAGAAAACTAAGGAAAATACAAACATGTAAACTGTCGGAAATTAGTCGGTAGCACATACTTAGACTATTCCACGTCTTTTTTCAGTATCGGGGCTATTGATCAAATGGGTATTGTTCTTAAGTTCAGATAATCTTTATGTTCATTAATGTGTTCGTTTAAACATATGCATTGTATATCTCTTTACATTTCAACCGATTTATCTTTACAGACCTAAAATAAATATGCGTTGAACATCGTCAACTTCATTATAAACATATACATACAAAATAGCATATCATAAATAAGTCACATGACGTCGCTTATTGTCCATAGACAGCGACATTATTAGCCGCGAAAATGTTAAGATTAAGACTACTTCCTACGTTATTCGAAAACATGTTTAATCCCGCAAATTTCGAAGCGTCAGAATGAAAAATAAAATAAAATTCAATATTTAAAAAAATAAAGATCGCGATACTGAAATAAAACGTGGAATGGTCTAAGTATGTGCTACCGACTCATTTCGTTTGTATTATCCTTAGTTTTCTTTAGGCTGCTAGGCTGCTAGGCTGCTAACTTCACAAATTTCGAAGAGTAAAAAAAAAACAAAGTTCAATATTAAAAAAAATAAAGTTCGCGATACTGAAAAAAGACGTGGAATAGTCTAAGTATGTGCTACCGACTCATTTCCGACGGTTTACATGTTTGTATTGTCCTTAGTTTTCTTTAGGCTGCTAGGCTGCAAGGCTGCTAGGCTGCTAGGCTGCCAGGCTGCTAGGCTGCTAGGCTGCTAGGCTGCCAGGCTGCTATGCTGCTAACTTCACAAATTTCGAAGTGTCAAAAAAAAAAACAAAGTTCAATATTTAAAAAAATAAAGTTCGCGATACTGAAAAAAGACGTGGAATAGTCTAAGTATGTGCTACAGACTCATTTCCGACGGTTTACATGTTTGTATTGTCCTTAGTTTTCTTGGCTGTTAGGCTGTCAGGCTGCTAGGCTGCTAGGCTGCCAGGCTGCTAGGCTGTTATGTTGCCAGGCTGCTAGGCTGCCAGGCTGCTAACTTCACAAATTTCGAAGCGTCAAAAAAAAAAAAAAAAAAAAAAACAAACAAAGTTCAATATTTAAAAAAATTAAGATTGCGGTACTGAAAAAAGGCGTGGAATAGTCTAGAAGTATGTGCTATCGACTCATTTCCGACGGTTTACATGTTTGTATTTTCCTTAGTTTTCTTTAGGTTGCCAGGCTGCTAGGCTGCTAACTTCACAAATTTCGAAGCGTCAAAATAAAAAAAAACAAAGTTCAATATTTAAAAAAATAAAGATCGCGATACTGAAATAAGACGTGCAATGGTCTAAGTATGTGCTTCCGATTTATATCTGACGATTTCATGTTTGTACTATCTTAGTTTTCTTTAGGCTGCTAGGCTGCTAGGCTGCCAGGCTGCCAGGCTGCTAGGCTGCTAGGCTGCCAACTTCAGGCTGCTGGGCTGCTAGGCTGCTAGGCTGCCAACTTCACGAACATAATTTGAAGCTGATTTTACTGAATGATTCTTCAGGTTTTGTATTTTAAAAAATGATGCAATTAGGTACAAAAGTTTAAGCTTTTATGCAGGTACAGTGCAATCAAATTTCAAAAACACATGCTCAATACATCATTTAAGAAGTACTACAACACTTCTCAAATGTTAACTGCTATGCCATAGGAAACAAGTTAATAGTTTTCGATTGTCTTTGAAAGTTGAAAGTGATTATCAATTTCAAAATTTCATATAATGTAACTGTTTTCAATTATGCATGCTTATCAATTTTTTGGGATGTTCTGAGATTGCTTTTCATTGATATGTATTTAGTATAAACCAAATATTTGTTCTTCTAAAACATTTTAAATTTTTACTCTCACTGCGTATATCATAATTCACATTTGATATACCATTTTATGCTAAAAATGTTATGTGATGCAATGTTATGTTATGTAATGTAATGTTATGTAAACCTTATGTCATGTTATGTTATGTATTATGTTTGATATTATTTAATTGATCAGAAAAAATATTCAGTTAAACATGTCAAAAGTGTATATTCAAGTACAACATGTACATAATTATGTATTTTTTAAACTTCCCCAAATAGTTTTTTATTTATTTATTTGATTGCTATGAATGCAATTATTAGTTTTTGGAGATTTGGTAATAAAACAAAACATGCTAGTGTTATTTGTAATATTTTCAGGGAAAAGCAAAAATGATGCATTATTGTTCAACTTAATATCAAAAGTGTCGTCTAAGCAATATTTGTAACAAATATTTTCATTGGAATAATACACATTGGTCATTGGAATGCTTTGTTCTAAACAAAACCCACTAAAACCCCTAGATATACCAACTTAAAACAGATGTTTAAAACAATCCAGACAAAACACTCACAAGGAAATGTCATTTTCTTACTTCGAGTTTAGTCATGTTTCATGTCATGTGGTACGCGGCAATGATCAAGAAAAGTTAACAGTAATTGTTTGCCTGTCAACAAGTTTTGTTTAACAGATAAGAGATAAGTTTACATTCGTACATGTAATAATACATAAGTAGATGCAACATATAAAATATACATACATCTTTATATAATTATTACTATCATTATAAAGACATTTGGCATCTATAAAACGTTTTTTTATTTCAAATTGTAAAATGAAAAATGATAGCATAGAAATATAATTGAAACAATTGCTATTACATGTCAGTATTATCTTATCTTCTTAATGTCTGTTTAATAAAGTTAAATAAATTTTAAGGTCCCGCACTAATCTTTACTTTGTATCAAATTAAAAAAAAATGTGAAGTTGAACTTTAAAATATCATTAGGTATTATTAGGACAAACATGCATAAACTCTGCCATTTTTACACATGTAAGTGAAAAATTACCGACTTTCGTTATATAACTGACATTTTGTTAAAGGTCAATTACTATTTTACTATAATAACGACTTCTATAATAACAAAAGATTTCTCAAGGCAAATTATATAACAAAGGAACTTATCGTAGATTTCCTGCGGCACGTTATGAGCTTGAGATAATTTCACAGAATGGTGACAATGAAACGAGTTCGCTAATAAACACGTTAATATTTTGACATGTTAATTTAATTATTTAAACATATTAGCAATATTAATTCATCAGTATCGAGTCAAAATCATTTCGTTATCATTTAAATGCATGGTTACCGACCTTAATGCTTTTGATTATAATTTAGAAATTATATCTTTGATCTTGCGAGACATCACAAATTATAATTTTAGTTTTGCTGTTAAATCACTCTTGACAAATGACAATATATATCCTAAATAAAAGGGATGGACAACCTTATAAACTCTTAAATGACAGCAATTCCAAAGTGAAATATTTTATTTTATGTTTTATTTGTTGCCTATGTTTTCCCTCCACACTAAAAACAGAAATCCCGGCAAGAGATTTTGCTAGCCTCTGCTCTGTTTTACTGTATTCTCAAACAATACCTTTGTGTTTATATGATTTACCGTGGACTATTCAGATTCGTATCTATTAACAACTAGAGATGAAAGAAGAAATACTGAGTTCATCATTTGCTGAATAATCTCTGTGTTAACACGATCCAACGTATTAGCCTACAATTAAGATAATAAGTTGTTAATGAAAATATATCTTTATTTGATTTATGGCGTATGTCAATAGTGTGTAATTTGATAAATGACTAAATTCAACCAAAGTCATTAGTTAAACCTACATTAATGTTTAGTCCGTAGGATATGTTATGATTTCGTTTTCCGGAAATCAAAAAGTTTATTTGAGTCGAAGCAAGTTAAGATGATAAAGCATCTTCATGATCAATCTGAAAATCTACAGAGATGCTACATGTAACTTACAGTTTGCAATTTTCATGTAATTTTATTGTGATTAATGCTACCTAGGGCACATCCCAGCAAACAAAAGACGTTGTACCAACGTTGTACTGACGTTAGACCCTGACGTTGGGTAAACGTTGGCAGAAGGTTGGATTTGAAAGTTTTTTAGACGTCAGAAACCGACGTCTATACAACGTCATAAAATGACCTTTATCCAACCTTTTCTGACCATAATCCAACCTTTCCTGACTATTATCTGACCATAATCCAACCTTTTCTGACCATTATTTGGACATGATCCAACCTTTTTCTGACCATAATCCAACCTTTTCTGACCATTATCTGACCATATGCCAACCTTATCTGACCAAATTTTCTGACCATGATTTAACCTCATTCAAAACTTTTGGAATATGATTTTTTTTCATTTTGAAGCTCTTAAATAGGGTTAATAAATAAGCATTCTTATGATTTTAGCAATTTATTTTATACTCGGAATCACAAGTACAAAACAAGAAATGTGGTACTATAATAAATGCAAGATTTACATAATATTTTTTGAAACTATTAAACTTGACGGTATGTACTTTAATAACGCTTCATGTATAAATTAAGCATGTTTTAGAAATAAGATAAACAAAATCCTTCTTGAATATTAACACTGACATTTTATATAGCAAACATCCATGCATATGTTTTTTCTTATATCACCACTGAACTGATCACTCTGAGTTTGGGATTTTTCAATCATCTATCCAACTCACTGATTGTATACTTGACTTTGTATTTTATAACTGAATCTAGATCTGAATGTTAAATGGAACAATATTCTGAATATTTTGTTATAACTATAAATAGCAATGTTCATGTATCTTCATTAGTATTCTAGCTTCTTTCGTCCTCCTACACTATGTCGATCTGGGGCATACTATAAGCGTATCATTACCGTCTCCAACCTGAGATCTCATCACACTTTCTGAAATTAAAAGAAATAAAATAATCAGTTACAAGTGCAAGAAATAAATCACTTATACATATAATATTTAAACGAAATTCTAACAAAACTCTCCAACTACTTAAAAAGATACTTATTATTTTTAATTTAGTTTAAACCATGTAGTTTCGTGTACCTACTGTATATATCTATTAATTTTGATAAAAATGGCTTCGTGAATTTCATTATAAAATCAAGGGTAATAAGATCACTGTATTTTCTATAATATTTTGAAATATACCTGTCACAAAATCTTGGTAGGTTTTCATTTTTCTTTTCCTCTAAATATTTTCATCTTCCTCCTGAACTTTTGACACATGTTGAATTATCATAATTTTCACAATCTGAAAGACGAAATATAATCGTTTTAGAATTTAACCATGTGGTGGAAGGATGTTTGTCTAATACAATAGGCAAAATCCAATTACTATTAATCTTAGTTAACTCATAAGCGCATGAAAAACTGATATAACAAATACCAAAATGAAATTAATTCTACTCCCGCAAAAATTGATATTGTTATTTTTTATATTCAATGTACTTTGTACAAATGCTCATACAACATCAAAGAAATTCACATGTTACTGTCATTTTTATAGATATCATCTCTGCCCAGCATGATCTGGTCTGCTAAGTGTATATAGGACAGACTGGCTTAGTGTAAAAACGTTTTATGATACGAGCATACAACTTGTTGATAAGCAGGCTAATTAACAAACTATTACCTTTATTGATTTATAACTATGATAATGTGTTTTCTGATTGATAATATGTTGTTTGATTACATTAATAAAAAGATAGCTAGTCAAATACAATGTGCTTTCAGGTATATCTTACCAAAGTCGTATCATTTACATGTATCAAATGCCATGAATCATTTTCATAATATAAGAAACACATGGTATGCTAACAGTATTGGTAAAGTACTTCAATTAACAACGAGTAGTTTAACAACTACACAGATATCAAATCAAACTGCATCTGATACATGTGTAAATGACTGGCCCCTCATATAAGGGAAATTCATGTTGATAAGAAATAAGAGGAAATTTTATTTACCAGCATTTAAATAATAAGATTATTACGTACTGCATTTAACTTTTTATTGATTTCAATTGCTAAGATATTTCCTACCATTGATTGTGCATTTATTTGGCATGGCGATATAGTGTGGGAAAAATGATCCGATTATACAGACTGTTCTATAGCAAATGATAAAGTGTTCTTACGTGGAAACAAAAATATTTATCTCGCGAAATCACGTTACATTAAGTTTTACCAGTCAAACATTTCAATGATCAAATAACCATCGAATCCAATCAAACATGCGGTAAATAAGCATTGAAAAACAATATATAATGTTTGCCTACCTTTTTCTTTTGTTTGGAATATACAACTTTGTCTGTCAACCCGTCGTTTTTTTGTCCGCCAATACAATTGAATTTCAAATCCGATAAGTCGCAAATTCGAATTTACTAAATTATTTACCACTATAAAATGAAGCCCTCAAAAATGATAACAGCTTCATTGTAAATTATATAAACACTTCTTAGACTAATTCGAGGAGATAAGATATTATTTAAACGAAAATAGAGCAAATATATTTCATACTGATCTGCGACTATCCGTTTACAGAGCGCCACCTATCGAATATCGTACGTTAGCCACCCACGTGATACTGTTGTTTTGATGGAGAAAATAAATATATAATGTTCCCTTTCTAAACTTAAACTTAAAATTCTCGCTGTTTATGCTTTCATTTATATATATATTGGTTTCATAAATTAAATTCACCTATTGTCAGATTACCGACCAAAACCCGACGTCGAGCCGACGTCAAAATGAAACGTCTGTTAGACGTCGGGGATTCAACGTTGATTTGACGTTGTATGAAGGTCACCGACGTCGCGACCAAAATTCAACGTTGATCCAACGTTGGGTCAACATCGGGTGTTTGCTGGGATTGTTTCCCGATTTTAACACTTCACAACAACAGCATTCAAATGATGTATGGCAGCTTTAAAATGTTGTCCCGTACTTCGCTTCAGTGTTGTTATATTTTTCTGGTCCTTCGGGATCATTGATGCCAGCACTTTTAAGTGTTTAGAATTGAATACCACTCGAGCCGGTGCTTGGGGCTTGAGGGATGTTGCACTTAATCATTATTTCTCATGTACAGACTCAATCGAACGGAGTCTGCAATTTTCATCTTTTTTTGTTGTTATTTATGCTTCTGAGCCAGATTTTCATCAGAACAGTGATTACAATTTTTTTTAAAAATTAAAAAAGTCTTGCAAAAACTCGTAGTGTAATATTACGTTCAAAACAAAATCTAAAAAATAATAATATACCACATAGTTTGTAACGTTTAATATACATTTTGATAAAAAGTAGCCCTTATTATTATTAATTATTTCCCTTTTATGTCGTCGATTTTATCAAATTTACATTCTTTTGTCGTTTTTGTTTTATCAGACACAATGTATCTGACCGGTATATATTATTCAAGTATCTAGTTATGAAATGGAATTTGGTACATTCTTCAAAGAAACAGTTAATGATTTATACATTGAAGGGAATATATTGTCTCAATTACGCAATTGTAATACATTTATATTGTATAACATCATGTCGTAACATTTACCATTTAATTATATTATTATATTTAAGATGTTTGATACGTTGATATGTCATCAAGTATGATATTGTTTTGTCTTAATAAAGACACGCTAAGGTGCATTTGTAACAACGTTTGTAAATGTTTTTTTCTAATATTTAAACAGTAATTTAATATAAAATCGAACTTAACTACAATATTATATCATTATACACAATCCCGTTTAAACAAACGTGTTTCATGTATATGTATTATCATCATTATCATAATGATAGTCAACTAAGGACAAATGATTTAATGCAGACAAAATTTTAACATTTAACAGAATACTGCTATAAACTATCCAACTTCAAAAAATTCAACAACAAAAATATACAGCTAGACAATGTTCAAGGACCGAAAATATAACATCTTGTATTAAATGTACTGAACCACTTTTCGTGAATAATCATTATCTTGTTCCGACATAGCTTTATGTGCTAAACAAACAAAGCCTCTTCCTCTTGTAGGAAAATAGCCTGTGGTCGAAAGGATACAGTTTCTACATCTATTTTACAAAAGACACGATTACGTAGAGTTGTGTAGGGAACACCATACCCCCAAGGAACAAATTTCCTTTTTGACCTTTCTCCGCTTGTGTGCCTTCACCCATTTTTGGTTTATAGCCTTCTTGGTGTCCCGATTGTTTATGTTGTGTCGGGAGTTTCGTTTTTTAACCACGCCTTTTCTCTGTTTATCCTTTATCTCATTTTAATAGGCATAATCGATGGATTGCAGTTGCACTTTTTTTAGGGATTCTGTTTTTACTCCTATTTTATTGTTAGTTCAGTGTGGAGGCCGTGAATTAATTCGCCCTGTGTATCCAATCTCCGGTCATTGTTGTGTGTGTTGTATTTTAAGTTCTTTCGCTTTGAACTTTTTTTCGAGTCGGGTGGTTCCCGTATTTCCGTAATCACCCCTAGTACATGATGCCTGTTTATTTTATATTTGTCTTTTGACGTCTTGACTGTGATACGAGATGCAGGCTGCATACAGTTTGGTCTTCTTTGAATATACCACTCCTAGCAATATATGTAGGGTTTATAAATCTAAGATGATGTCATTTTAAACCTTCGCTTGCTGTCATTCATTTAAAGTTTTGACCTTTCTAATTTCTTATCATTAAATTTGATTTAAACTTTATTTTGATAGTGAACAAACTTCGAACCAAACTCGAATCCGCTTCTTTTAACTTACTAATACTGATGCTAGATACGTTAAAATGGCCAAGAGGTAGACGTTGACCAACGTTACTCTTGATTAAGGAAAGAGATGTGTAATTAATTAACCAGATGATTATTGTTGTATCAGTCAGCTTCTTCAGATCTACTTTGCTTACCTTTGTATTGATTAAAATTGTTTCCGCAATGCAACAACTTAATAACTTACAAACACTGTTTTTGGACATGACGCTGCTTAGTTCTAGTTATGGCAAATTATTAAGAAAACGCCCAGAGCTGTCTTCAGATGTTTCAATTTAATCAGAAGTGACGCTAAGTATTTGTCACTCAGACAGACAACGCTTGATATGTGCACGAAAGCACGAACGCAAAATAAAAGACGTATGTCTATGTAAAAAAGTAACCATTTATGATGTGTATTTTCTGATACTTTACTAATACTGAAGTCTTAATCACGAAACTAGAAAACAAATATGACAACGAATAGAAACAAGTTGGTTAACTCAATAAACATTAGTTTCAGCTTGTACTTTAAAAATTACATTAAAGTCTAAAACTTAAAATTTGGATGTTTTAATAACTTTTGTTGTCAAATCATCAAATCACAGTTTGATTCTTTCAATATGTAGATAGTGTATTTCAAGAAACAGTTTTATTTTCTATTTTGCAATGTTTCATATAGAAACACAAAGAAAGCACAAATAAGCTTAACAAATAGTCGTAACAATACGATACAAATTTGATAGATCCTTACTCTGACCTTTTATTTGAATAACAATAGATTTAACCACAATGATTGACATGTGCTCTTTTGTTAACAAAATGTTCTGGTGAATTTCTTACTGTATCCACTAATCTGATAATTAGAATTAGATAGGTCAGTGATCTATGCATGGTTGCGTGATACCTGTAGCAAATCAGTCGAAGTTTGTGTGACTGACAGTATAAAGCGTAAACTTTGTTTTAATATAGTTTCATTATTTATTTATTATTTTAATTTATTTCTATAAATTAATTATACTAAGTCATTATTTAAAGTGACATTATACTCATATTTTTATTGTCAATTTAAGTTGAATTGACTATACATTTCAAAAGATTGACTGTAATAACGGTGATTGACAGATTTGTATAAAATGTAACTTTGGCTAAAATATAAAAAGTCTGCCCCACTATTTTTTAATTGAATTGTTATGATTATTGGTATGATCCGAGGAAGTTTAACATAAAATTCTTCATGTCACGTGAGTAATTTATCGATCATGCGACGTAAATGAATTATGGCAAAATGAAAACTTATTTTGATATTCATCTATTCACTGTCTATATGACTTAGATGTGCATTATTTCACTTAAACATAAGCCGATACATTATGCTTATAATATTTACATGGAACAAAGCAAATATTAAACTCATTGTTTCATAGAACTGTATATTCTATTGTTTCAATGCATTTATTCCGTTGTACTTCATTAGCAAAAATTATTTAGATCTCCCTATTGAGCGATGTTTGAATTACACTTTACCATGCTCTTCCTTCTCCTATATTCAGCAGAATATGTAAAGTGGCAAAATATAACGCTATACGGAATGAGTGATCAGCAATGAAAAGGTTATGGAAATTAAATAAAATAACGCCAGTAATCAACGTTGCTTTGAATGACAATAAAGGTTCTGCAGATAAGATTTAAACCTGATAGTTTTATACTGTAATGATGAATTATTATACATTTTTACAAATTAATAACCTAATATATTGATTAATGAATTGCGTGTACACTTATTGCATTCGTTGCTAACATTTTTATTTACGGTCATACGTCAAACTGCTTACAATGATAGAATCTATTCTAATTCCGTACAACATTGTAAATATGTTAGACTTTACAGCATTGTTTCATCAATATTTTGCATAAATCTAAGGATCTAATGGTCATGACAATTTTATTTCATGCTTTCCAGTGTTTTATTGTAATATATCAGATGATTATATTCTGATAAACCACTAGTAAAATGTATAAAATATAATTTTCACTGTAGCCGGACTATATCCGAATGCGGATGAAAAGAAAATCATAACTAAATGGAATAACAGGCAGAAATAAATGCCGTCATACGTAAATTGTGATTCTTTAGGAAAAGAAAGCCGATTTCACCATACATCATGTTAAAAATGTAACAAAATAAGAGAAATTTAACAGAACTATATTTCAAAATTGATGATGTGACGTCATGATGTGATAACGTCACAATGGAGAATGCGCGACGTTACGCGGCAAAATCAGTGAAAAATACTTAAAATCACTTAAAAAGCATGAAAAAAAAGAAAATTTATTTTACGTATATGATTGAAATATATTTCATTCGTGAACACCAGCTATTAATATTGCATCTGGTGTTCACTCAGTGAAATTATATTTCAATCTTACATGCTAAACAAAGAAATATCCTCTTTGTATCTAATAATGCATGGAACTCATCAAACAACCCCCCCCCCCCAAAAAAAAAAAACAAGTTGGTTTTCACCGTCTATATCACTTGGATAAGACTTTCTAGTACCGTCCATGAACATGCTCAATTGAAACGAGCCTGCAACATTGTCAATTTTGCCGTGTTGAGCTCTCTTTGGGAAATTTGTTTGCCTCTATTTAAAAAAAAACAAATAGTACATGTATAGTAAAAAAAAACGTTTGCGTCACCCATATTAAAAATAATTGCCCCTTTGCAAATATCCTAGGATAAAACTACAAAAAATAGATATATGCACAATTGTTGCAGGCTAGGTACGATTATAACTGATGTTTGTCGGATATGCAATCTACTGTCTACACCCAATGACATCGGCTTCAATATTGCCTATTTGAACATGGAAATGGTGAGACGTCTAGATATGTATCATTCGTTGGTAATTATGTAATCTAATCTCGCACAACGGGCACGCTCATCATTCTATAACGTTATTATTCACGCCGTGTTCTTATAACGGATATGCGTCAGACATTACATGTTGATATACCAAGCAATCGATTATAAAGGGCACGAGTATGTGAACAATTTGAATTTCTCAATCCATATCCATTCACACATCTAAGCAAAACACAAAAAGCTGTAAAACTTCACTAAATTTA